ATATATATATATATATATATATATATATATATATATATATATATATATATATATATATGAGCAATGTATATATGATATTGTGTTTATACAACAGTTCGACGGAACATGTGTGTAATTAAACAAGAAACAACGGAGAGCCTAATAAACCCCTCTTTTGTACCGAACTACTTCCTTCCGCCACAGATTCAAAGCTCAAGGTGACAGTTAAACATACATCACTTTTAAAATTCATATCAAGGGCATGTGCTGCTTCAGTTAGGTTATTAGTGAGAAATAATGAGGTTATAAGAGAGAAACAATGCGGCAAGACGTGCATCCAAATGAGAGAGAGAGAGACCGCGAAGCTAGACATCTCTTCTTATATTAACTAATGTACTCTACGATTAGCTCAGTGAATAATTAAAAACAAACATAGATCCAGCTAGAACAAGCGGAGTGATAAAAAATTGTGAAAGGGAGTTCCTGTAGCGATACCAGTACAATATCTCACGGTTCTCAACCAATCAGATTTGAGAACCAGAATTAACTGTTGTATAAATATACATATATACACACACACACACACATGTATACAGTATATATATATATATATATATATATATTTTTTTTTTTTACATTTGTGCAGCCTCGTGCCTACGGCCAAATCACAGCCGTGCCGATATACATCCATATCTCACTGCTATGACTGTGATATTGTGTTAATACAACAGTTTGACGGCATGAGTGTGTAAATATACACGAAACAACAACTGAGTGTCTTTAAAAGCCCTCTTTTGTGCAGAACTACTTCCTTCAACAACGGATTCAAATCTGAAGTTGACATTAACAGCTGAGCCCAAGCCTCCCTTACAAATTCCAAAACGTCACTCTAGAACTAGTAACGAAAGTTGAGTTGCTTCATTGAAAACGTATTGTGTTACTTATTAAAAGCTCACTCTATTGTGTAAAGTATTATGAGAGATGGACTAAGCGAGTGCGATTAGCTGCATCTGACACAGCATTCACTCTTCAGCTCTCATATTTATATCTCATATTCACAATAAAACATTAGTTTGAATGTCCGCTGAGGAAAGCGATATCTTTGCCGTACTATCCTTTTAATCGGTTAAGGGTGATTTCCGATGACAGCACTGCTCAGTCACAGTTGGCTGCGTTTTACAATGTGTTGAAAGTAAAAATAACTTCCTTGTTTACAACACTATTCCAGTCTCTTTCAATATAAAAGTCTTTACTGCTGACTCACTCATAAAAACAGTCTCTTAACGCCATCTAATGGCGAAATAATGTAACTAAAATCATCATCACGAACACACACACACACAGTTTCCCAATACTAAATACTATAATTAAATACTTAATAATAAATTATTGAATAATATTTAATAAACAACAACAGCCATCATAAAAGTTGCTAGGTATAGGTATAGGTTGCTGACATACAGCATTTAAAGTTACATAAAGTATAATGTGATGAGATTTTGCCCTCAGCCAAAACTATTTGCTCTGAAACAAATATTAGATTAATGAGACCAATGACTGCCCGTTAGATTTACCTGAAACGAATTATATCTCACAAAGGTGTAGAATAGGGTCTCTAGCAATAATTCTGATCAAACAATCAAATATATTGTTATTGTAATTACGGCCGCATCTGAAATATCATTCCACTGATATTACCTGAGAAGCTAAAGTAAATACACTAGAAAACCTCACACTTTCAAACGCGCACATTTAATACCCCTGATAGCTTGTGTACATCATGTTACCGTCTATTTGACGACTGCATTTACATCTGCAAGACATATTTTTTAGATTGTTTGCTCATGTGCAATACGTCTATAGGACATTTCCTATCAGATGTCAAATAGACATTTATTAAATTTCTTTAAGATGTATTTAAGATGTTTATGATTTAGAATGTATGTAAAACTTGCATATATGTATCTCACAAAGATATCATTATTATTATATTATAAATGACATAAAATTATTATTATAACATTTTTGCATAACAGTACTTTCTTTTGATTTGGGGGTAAAATATGACCCAGACACATTCTTGACATTTAATGAAATTCACCCATGCATATAACTAAAACTCAGATGCACACATATCTACACATACCTACACTAGACAAAAGTCTACAGTATATGGAACAGGAAAGGCAACTTCATAAACTCTTGCGGAGAGTCATAGCTGATGTTAAACAGCCAGCAGCATTATTTATGCTTATATACGGTATTCTATTTACATATATGTATTTATATATGGCATTTACATAAAGCTGAAAGTCACCGCATTACTCCCAGAATCCCTAGGCCACAAAAAAGAGAGCAAAAGAGTTAGAAAAATCGACACTTCCTATTCCAAACAGTAAACCAGATCCTTCCTGAGAGAAAGACGTTGTACTTCACCAAGCACTCCCGCTTGATCTCTTTCAATAAAACAGGAGATATCCATCCTTTGAAAAGAAAGGATTAGAAAAGATTCAGATAAACTATTGGAGAGAAAGAAAGCATGAGAGGTATAAAGGACAAAGATAAAAGAGAGGGAGAAAAGAGGATTAGAAAAAAGAGGAATCATATGAAGGAATGAAGATAGATGTGGACAGTGAATTCTAACTTGCTGTCTTGCCTCGACCTGATAACATCCTCTCACACTCTCACTGCTCAGCTGCTCCACGCTAAAGTCCATGCACCTTAAAACAAACCACTTTAGGTCAGCTGAGGAAACTGGAACACTTATTTTATTGTTCAATTTAATAACAGCAATCACATTTTTACTGCGAGTCTGTTACATTTTTCATAAAAAATTATTGCATGTACTGTGTTCTTTGCCCGTTCTTTGTAATTAATTGTGAAATTTACTAGTAATTTCTGAGTGAAAATTGTTTTTAATTTGTTAAGTGTACAGGATGCTGATGACAAAACATATTAGAATATATAGGAGCCACCTATGCAAAAGAAAGTGTTGATCTCAGAAAGAATTTTGTATTCAAATATAACATTTGAGGTTAGGAAAAAGCCTAACAAGAATATAAAATAAGAAGAATGAAGGAAGAAAAAGAATGCATGAGTGGGAGAGAGAGGCATATCTAATAGTATTAAAAACCTCAAATACAGCAGGGACTCCCCAGCCTCTTTCAACTGCAGTATGTTAGAGAAGATTATTCCCAAACCAGGAAGACAGAAA